TAACTTGAGATGCAATTTTGGAACACAAACTTTTAGTTCAAATGTGCAAGCTTGAACTTAACAAATGTTTAAAATATTTGAGTTTGTGAAATGGTGCCAAAATAAACCATGTCTTTTCTAAAGACTACATATTTAGCTAGGCACTGGCAATGTAAATCTTTCAACCATTTCAAGTATTTGTTTAAAAGCCTCCCAGAACACGTGGGCTCCCAACAAAACTGAAGAATGAAATGTTTAGACCACTGAAGCTCAACAGCTGACTTATAATCGACCTAATATGAGAATACTACTTTGGTTTTGTGAACTTGTGAATACATTTTATTTAGCAATGCATGAGAAGAACAAACAGAGAAAGTCCAGTTCTGCAGATCTGATGTGAAATGGTACAGCGATAAGAGTCAGCACATGTAACGCTGCAATCACAGCAAGCACAATATCAGAGGAACTGCCAGTCAGTGATTTCATGTGCCTCACAGTTTATTCTTGCACAGGAGGAAAATCTTCTGTGGTATAAATTAAAAAGAAAAAAACCCCATCACACCTAACAGCCTTCATCTGGAATTATTCTAAATGAAGAAAATAAAGGCACAGAGAAATCCTGACATTTAGATAGCAAGTTCATTTGTGTAATGGATTAAAGATGTTACAACACTTGATCACCTGATAACACTATATAAAGTAATTTAATTTGAAAATTATATCTTGTAAACCATCCAGTGATTTGGAACAAACAAATAAATAAATAAATGCACCTATGACAACACTGACATTGCTAAACTATTTCAATACGATGGCTTATTTATAAAAACAGTTTTAATATTCCCCTACATTAATGATTAACTAATGAATCTTACTTTCTTGTGAATGTATTTAAAGAAGAATCAAACTGACTTCACCTACAGGACTCCAGTAACAATACTGAGCTGGCTCTGAACTTTTCAAGTATCAGCAGTTTTCCCAACACTAGTACAGAAAACCATGCCACCAGTTTTGGGCTGTGGGCTGAATGAAAAATAGTATGAAAAGACTAAAGGTTCACAGTTCTTTTCTGTTAAAGTTGATTTGTCATAATATTGTTAATTAGTGAGGGCTTAGGGAAGGCTTACTAGGAATATAATTACAGTGCTGAAAAGCATTAATAATGCTCTTATCCCGAGCCAACATGATGCTATTTACATATTTTACCCTGGCATATACCAGAAATGGCTCCCATTGCATAACGTGCTGCAGGATCATCAAGAGAAAGACTCAAAATCTCACAGGGGAAGGAGGTTTCTGTGTGTCTCTGTGCTCTTCAAGACAGCAGGGACCCTAATTTGACCAGTAATTACAACCATCACCATAAGCATTGCCTATGGTGAGCCACCTTTCATCGTGAACTGCTGCTCCATCAGAAGGGAAATGAATTGCTACTCCTGGTACATAATCAGATACAGTCTTAGCTTTCTCTCTTATATTAGGAGAGAAGTGACAATTGCATTTGTCTTCTGTATAGGGGCAGGCTTCTTTTCACTTTCAGAGCTCTGCACAGACATCAATCAGTTGTCAATTAATAAACCATATGATAAAAGCCAATTAACCCATGTTATCATTATCACCCAGTTCTATTACCTAGAGCAGAATTCTTGACCTTGTTACACTCAAAGGCAAAAGTCAGACTGTGCTCAACAAGGCCAGAAGTTCAGCTGAGGGCACTAAAAGCTGGGCCTGCATTACCAGTCCTGTGTGACTTTTGCTGCTGACTTCAGTGGGTGAAAAAGCAAAAGTGTTTTGCCATTAGGCACACAGATGCTTTTGCAAACTCCCTGGAGGAGCCCAGGAACCTCTTCAGGGGCTGCATACCTTTAGTGACAGTCACTAAGGGATTTGCCAAAGACCACACACCAGGTTGTTAGCGAAGAAGAGTAAGAACCCAACTGTTTTTGAATCTTCACCTCTCCACACAGTAAATTTCCCAAGATCTTTTTCAAAGAAGACAAACATTTCCAGCTGAATTTTAAAACCCAACATTTAATTTAATTATGATTCATAGCCATTTATCTGCATTTGTCATTTCTGACAAAACTCCATAACTAAAATACTCACTGAATTTCAGGCTGCTTGTTACAGACATAAGACAGTCAGGAACTACTTTTTTATCTTAGGTACAATGTATCAAAAGGAAAATTATGAAGCAAAATTATCACTTAATTTACCCACACCCATATGTATCTGACATCAAGACTACTAGATGGTTTTTGCCTGGCTGATTCTACTTTCCCAAACAAAGCCAGAGGATACAAGAGGCTGGAGGTCAAACAGTCTGGCTGTATGAAGGCTGCACTCACAAGATTACTCACTTGGAGGCAGAAATACTTGGGGGAAGGTGAGTAGTTCTTGATATTCCCAGGGAAGGAGGAACTTAGCACATTCATGCATGGAGAACAAGCCCTGATTTAGTAAATTTGTGTTTTCAAAGTAGCAAACAACTTCCTCATTAAAGCTGCCAAGGGGTAAGAGGGAAGATTTTTACATTGAAAAATAAGTAGTTTAAAGTTAAGTTAAAACAATGAGTAAGAATACATGTGTCATTTTCAGAGTGAAGGAAAAGTTTTGTTCTACAGGGATCTTTGTCCCAGAGCCCATGTTCAACTAAATTAAGAAATCATCTTGAAGAGGGGGTTAATTTTGAGATGGTGGTATTTCACATCACCATATTGAGCATGGAGAGGATGATGATGCTATGATACTTTGTGTATTAAAAGAGGAGCTGAGAGAAGAAATGGAATAGGAACTTATGGTCACCAGGGAATGCATGCTGAAACAGCAGGTGACATTCAGCATCCGTAAATGTGAAGTTATTCACCTAGAAAACAGTTTATCTTCATACCCACTACGAGGAACTCTGAGCTGAACATTGTAACTGAGGAATGAGATCTAGAGTTGTTGTACTATAGAAATATGAATTCTGATAAATAATCTGTCATAAAGCAAATCCAATGCTATAAATTATTTCAAATAGCATAAAGAATAAAACAGACAACATCATTATGACAACCATTAAAGTCACATTTTGTCCGTATCATGAATACCAGGCACAAATCTGGTTGTATCTCAGTAATTACACTCCAGAGCTGGAAAAGAAATAGATTAGAATGACAAGGCCAATTAAAAACACAAGATGGATCCTTTACAAGAGACTAGGGATTCTCTCTGCAAAAGAGAAGCAGGGAGAAATAATGACAAATATGTAAAATCACAAAGGACATGGAAACAATCTGAACAGGAAGGATTGCTCACCACTTCTATCATACAAAAACTAGGTGGTAGCAAATGAATAGAGCTGCTTCATAACAAAGAAAAGGAAATATTTCTTCAGTCAATGCATCATTAACTGCATAAAAACTCATGACAAGAACAAGTAGATACTAAAAATTTAAATGGATTCAAAAACAGGTCATGAAAAAATGCTGCTAAATACAAAGACACCATCTGTGGTTTAGAAAGCCCCTAAATAACAAATTTCTGGGAGACCATTTGGGAGAATGGTCACTAGTGCTGGTCTGACTTTATACCCTTTCCTAGGCATCTTCTATTTGTTATTGCCAAAGGCAGTCTTTGGGCTAGTTGGACCTCTTTATTGCTTCCCCACCACTTCCTTAGAGC